TTAGAAGCTAAGCTTAACTGTCTTCTGGTTTAGAGATGAGGGCTCCATAGTTTTTTGGGTCTTGTGTCATATTCTCAGCTGTGTGATGTTCAGGCTTATCCTTTCTTGTCAAGGTAGCTCTTTTCAGAAGTAAACAGGCTTCTTCCTCCACTGACCTTGCAGTGCCCCACACACGCTAGGCTAGCACTGACTCCTGAGCTGATCCCTGCCCCCTTTAAATTTTACTGTGAACTGAAGTCTTGCTAAATTTCTCAGATTGTCTTTGAAGTGCAATCATCCATCCTCACCCTCTTGAGTAGCTGTAATTACAGGCAGACACCCCTGAACCCAGAAATTTCCTATTTGATGTCAGCTGATTTCCATATGCCTTTTAGGGAAGCCGTAAGTTACAGTCTAGACATACTCATTCTATTTGTTGTCTGCCCTTGTGGTTTTGATTTTACGTCTTTATTGATTTAATGGATCATACTTTGAATGCGTCTAGCTTTGCCAGTGAGCCACACCTTTAGTTTCTTTTCCCTTGAGCTTTTCTTATTGAAAGATCGAACTGAGAAGGACAACCTTGTGTGTATCTTTTCTTCTTCCTTTTTGGAGTGCCGACGTGGGATCCATTGCCATTCTTTGCACTTGGGAATGAAAGCCTGAAAGCAAAGCATTGGGCTGGGGATGTAGCTTAGCTCAAAGGCTCTGGGTTCAATCCTGTGTCCTGAAAGGAAAGAAAAAAAATTAATAAAAGCTAAGTATTAGTTGGCTTGTTGATTTTTTTTTTTTTTAACGGTAAGACTTTCTCAGGCTTATTTTTTAATTTGTTGGGAAAGAGACACAGCACTTTTTCTACCCTCAAACCTGACTTTATGGACTTTGTGTTTTGTTTGTATACCAGTTATTTTCTGAGCTCATTCTTTTTTTTTTTTCGTTTTTACCGGTACCGGGGATCGAACTCACAACTGCTTGCTTGCAAGGCAGGCACTTATGCTGCTGAGCTAAATCCTCAGCCCCTCTGAGCTCATTTTTTGTCACCTTTTAAAACAGTAGCCAATTATAGGGGAGAGACAAGAAGACAGAATAACAGAAAAATAATGGATACGTTAACGTTAGATTACTTCTTTTGAGTAAGGAGTAAAAAACTTTGCTAATCTATCAACTGAAGTGGAGATAGGTGAGAAATTTGGGCATAACCGATTTCTCAGAACGTCAGACTGCAGGTTTAGTTTAATCACAGTGTGAATGAATCTGTTTTGCTTGTTAGCCTGGTCTACTGAGACCTCATGTAGGAGCTTAGTCCAAAACAGTGGCTGCCAGTAATTTTCATTAAACACTTGTTGGCGGTAGTCTTCTTATAAATTTGAACCTGGTCTTCTGCTTTGTTCATTAATAATCCAGATGCCCATTTTAAAAAATGACATTTGCTTTAGAAAGGAGGAATAAGTGGTGAATGCAAATAATCTGTATCTAGAACCAGCCTAGCTCCTGGCGAACAAGTATAGGCTGCACTCAGTAGTTTGGCTGTGCTTGTCAAAGTGTCTGGATGTCTCAGAACAGTCACACAGGGGAGTCATGGCAGCACCACTGGGATGTTTTTCCTTCCTCCTCTATCTCATCTGCAGATTCTATGTGGGAAACTTAGGGGCAGACAGATTCTACATTAAGAAGATGGATAAAACTATGTGCAAAAATATAGCATTACAGTGTGAGATGAAGGACATTAAATTTTTCATAAAAAAATAAATATAACACAAATAAAACCCAGGGCCTCATTCACGCCAGGCTGGCTAAGTACCACTGAACTATGTTGTTCAGCCCTTAAGTGGAACTTTTATTTCCACTTAAATTATTAGAGTAATTCCAATCTTTATTCCCTCCTACCTTAATGCAGATGGCTGATACAACATCAGAATGTATTTTTAAAGCCCTACTCTTGCTTTCCACTGTCAAGTTGCCAACGAAGCTTTGAAATGACTCAGAATAGAGCAGTACATGAAGCAGGAAAAAGGAACTAGGGTTTAAAATAACTTATAAAGTGTTAAGACCTCCCCTGCAGTGTTTTTTAAACAGTGAGACCTCTTTTCGGTTACCTGTACTTAGCAAGATCCAGCCAAACAAAAGGTTATGTGGGGCTCTTCCTCCTAGACTTCTGGTAACTGCTGCTGGGGGAATGCTTTTTTTGGGGGGGGGGTATAGAACTGGGTTATTTTCTGGGTTTTACATAGTTTTTTCTGTGTCTATTATGCAGTACTTTTCATTGCTGAATTCTTTTGTTATTAATTTCTGTGTGTACTACAAGTTCTAAGTGTAGAATATTCCTTCTCTTCCTCCAGATCTCTAGCCTCGCACATTCAACCTGCTCCCCACCAGCCCCCATCAGCATCAACAACCAGCAGTCCTTCTGTGCCTTGCTTTAAACACATATTATCATAAACATATAGAGGTCATCTTTCTTCCCTCCCTCTTTCTCTTTTTTATTCAAACTAAATGATGCACTTTAAAAATGTTTACTTCTAGCCATCTCTTGCTTTTCTCATTAACAGAAAATTGGGGGAAATCTTTCCAGTCAGTTGAAATTTTAGCTGCTTAGAAGAGCGAAACGGGAAAATCATGTTTAAGGCCAGCCTAGGCAACTTAGACTCCACCTTAAAAAAAATTAGGAAAGAGAGAAAGCAAGAAGAATTAAATGAGATAATATATGCTTGGTACGTAGTACTCATTACATATTAGTTATCATCGTCATCATTTCTTTTATGGTTTGACAGATGTAATATGTACAGTCTGCTAAGGACTTACATAAAGGTTTCCCAGGGCTTCAATAAACTTTTGAAAGAAGCCATTTTTGCTCTTGAATCTTTAAACTCAGTTTTACCTCCCCCCATGCTCAGTTTTCTTTCTGAGACTTGGAGGGGGGTGCTCTTGCTATGTTGCTTAACCTGCTGTGCTCAAGTGATCTCCCATGTGGCTTCCTGAGAAGCTGAGATGACAGGAGTGCACCACTGTACCTGGCTTACACTCAGTTTTTTTTTTAATTAAAAAAAAGAATTTTAAAAAAGAAGGAGATTAAGATAAAAGAGGACATAACAACATAACAACACAGGTCAGAACAGAACAATTTAAGCAACATAGTGTTTCACCACAAGATAACCCGACATAACAGTAGTTACCATAGTGTGTCTTTCCTTGAAATATTTGAGTATACCTTCGTATACTACAGCATCAAACATAACATGACAGTGTGAAACCATTCAAGAGAATGAAAGTATTACAGGATATTTAGAACCAACTAACAGAAAACGAACATTGGTTTCTATATTATCTCCTTGTCTATAAAAAATTTTGTTTATACTATCACATATAATAAAATCCAAAAAGATACAACATGATAAACCGATGGAGACAGAACAAAAGCTTGACAGGACTTCAAAACAAGATGATATTAAATCAGGGCTGGGGATTTAGCTCAGCGGCGTAAGCGCCTGCCTTGCAAGCAGGCGGACGTGAGTTCGATCCCTGGTACCGATAAAAATGAAAAAGATGATATTAAATCAACACTAGCTATTGTCTTGTTTTCTTCAAAATAGCTGTTTATACCATCACAGACAATAAAATCAAACAACCCAGAATAAAACCGTTCCAATTAATGAATGAAAACATTATAAGGCTTCAAAGCAATATAATAGGGAATCATGAAAACCACATACTTTTGTGTATTCTTACCATTTCTTACACTAAGGAAACTATTCAGTATTTATACATGTGAGTTTGATTTATTTCACTTATGAGTATGGTCTCAAGGAAGCTGCGCCCATTTATTTATAAATATCTCAGTGTCACACTCAGTTTTGACACCAGGGTTCAGGTTTAGTTAATGGATTCTGCTGAGGGAAGTGAAATGAAGACTCCAGCATTCGGTGTCTCCTTTGGGTTTGTTCTGTATTCACTACAGAGCATTTGACAGTACAACTGCTGGCTTTCCAGGATGCTTTTAACCACAACTTATTCAGGTGCTTCAGCCCTATCACTTCATTGCAATAAAAGAAATTGTGATGGAAATGCATTTAATATCAGATAAATATCTGAAACAAGTCAAGTACTTAAATACCTCAAAGAGAAAGCCTTGCTGTTTCAGACTTGGGCAGGCGCTGTGGTTAGTTTTGGACCTACAGTGTCTGTAGTTCCTCTCGTGTTGTGTTTCTACGTCTGCAGACGGGAACCATTAGGGAGTTTAGGTCCAGAAATTTACACCATCAAATTGAATCAACATCTGTGGGAAAGGAGACCGGAAATGAATGTTAAAAACTTTCCAGATGACTCCAACTCACATAAAGGCTGAGAACTTCTAGGCAAGCCATTTAGGATAGTTTCTGTTTAAAGGGAAAGAAATAGATGTAACACAATTGGTTCTTAGATTTCTGTCTCCCTAGTGGTAATCGTGTCTGCTCATCATCTCTTAAATTACCCTTTCTCTCCTTTTCACCTTCCTATATGTTACGGAGTCATTCTTACAGCTCATAAGACAAAACCTGAATCACAGAGAGATGCCCTGGGAAGGGCCCTTGTGGTTTAGAGACTAACATACCCTGTCTTGGTACAACTACTCTAGTCAGTTTTTCCTTTGTGATTGGAACAGATAGTTTTTTTGGCTACAGATCTGATTAAATAGCATTTGGGAGCCTTGATGTGTGTAAAAAACATATAGATCTTTAAATATTGGAGTAGCACTCAGCTTGGCAAGATACTGAAGTCCCAAGAAACACACTTAAGACTAGTTTAGGGAACTACAGAATCATGTTTCTCATCTCACCCAATCCTGAGGCCACATCAATCATTCGTTCGAGTGTGAGCAGAGGTATGACGACCACTAGGCTTATGAATTCCAGTGCCTTTCAAAAGGCACATATAGTTGAATTTTTAAAAATTGAATAGTAGATGCATTTTGTTATTGAATATTCAAAAAGTGAACTTTCTTTTGCGTGTATAGGACTCAGCAGCACTCTCTTTCTGTCCTCTAGCATTCCCGTGGTTTGGCATGGACATCGGTGGAACTCTGGTTAAGCTGGTCTACTTTGAACCAAAGGATATTACAGCCGAAGAGGAACAAGAGGAAGTGGAGAACCTGAAGAGCATCCGGAAGTACCTGACCTCTAACACAGCCTATGGGAAGTCTGGGATCCGAGACGTCCACCTGGAACTGAAAAACCTGACCATGTGTGGACGCAAGGGGAACCTGCACTTCATCCGCTTCCCCAGCTGTGCCATGCACACGTTCATCCAGATGGGCAGCGAAAAGAACTTCTCCAGCCTCCACACCACTCTCTGTGCCACGGGAGGAGGGGCTTTCAAGTTTGAAGAGGACTTCAGAATGGTAGGTCAGCTTGTCCCTGTCGGAAGCTTCTCAGGCGTCCTTAATCACGGCATTCGATGCCTGAGAAGTCTGGCAGCCCTGGGACTTGGACCAATTTACTTCAGTCTGTACTTCACTTTCCTTGTCTGTAGCTGCTACCACAAAGGGATGGTACAAGAAGGCTTAAAGGGACTGTGTGCATGGCACACACCTGTAGTTTTAGCTGCTTAGGAGGGTGAAACAGGAAGATCACATGTTTAAGGCCAGCCTAGGTGAGTTAGACTCCACCTTAAAAAAATCAGGAAAGGAAAGAGAAAAAACAAGAAGAATTAAATGAGACAGTATATGCTTGATACTTATGTATGTTAGCATTGTCATCATTTCTTTTATAGTTAATGCTGTGTGCTGTGCTAAAGGTAAGATGATATGAATTCCTTTCTAAAGTGTATATTTCAGTTAGAGATCCTCACAGACTTACTACATAATCATGATGCTGGTTTCCTCTCTCTCTCTCTGTCTCTGTCTCTCTTTCTCCATCTATGTCTATCTCTGTCTCTTTCTTACTGAGGCCCACAGGAAGGCTTTCTATAAATCCTAATAAGTATTACTGCTTCTTTTTACCTACTTATTCTCATGCCTTTTTTGTTATATGAATGTTATTCAGAGGTTTTGCTCACAAATAAATATGAAGTCTTCAATATTACTTATGGGCAGTTTGGTTATTGGTGAATCCCATTTAGAGAATGTGACTTTATGTAATAGAGATAATGCTGCATTCAGATGGGCAGTGTGTATCAGTATGCACTGCTTATTTAGATTTGACAAATGTTGGGCTGGGAATTTAGTTCAGTGGCATAAGCGCTTGCCTTGCAAGCAGGCAGTCGTGAGTTCAATCCCCGGTACTGATAAAAAAAAAAAAAAAAAAAAAAGATTTGACAAATGCTGCTAAATGTAACATATGGATGAAGAAATGGAGTGCAAAGTTTCCTAACACCTATGTGTTTCAGTTTTCTCACGTCTTGTAGTCAAGATAATAATCTTTGCGTTGCCTAGTTTCTTCTCACAGAGTAAAGTAAAAATAAAGTTAATAAATAGATGTTAATAAAAAGCTTGAAAAATAAAGAGAGCTAGGTTTAAAACTTACCTAAATAACCCATACGATCTGTTTATCACCCCAGTGGTTCAGGGACTAGTTTGAAGCTGAGAAAGTTAAGGTCCGTGGCCATGAGAATTAAACTTGAGTCCCTAATGGAAAAAGGGTTGAACCTAAATTCTAGTCTTTTTTTTAACCTGGTTAAATGCAGAAACTTGGGCAAGACATATCTTTCCTATAGACCTATTTTGTCATATTTTGCAACAAGTTGGCTCAGAACTGGAAATGAGGCATCAGAACTGGAAATGACCCCTGAAGCTTATGTGTGACATCTCGAAAACACTATAGTTTAATGATCAGAAATGGTCAAGAGGTTCTACATTAGCACATGCCTCCTAAATAGGATCTGGGTGTTCTGGGAGTTCACCAGTCTCTCAAGGACACAGTGCCTGTCCACTTCCAGTAAATCACCTGAAGTGGATGAGGTGACTTGGGAGATTTATGTAACTTTTGTCACTGCCTCCATTACCTTCCCTGGGGTAATGTGTGTCCTGGGGAAAAGTTACTCAACGTGTGTTGGCTGTGAGCAAATGTGTTTCTCAAGGTTCTGAACTCAGAGAGGTCATACTCTCCTTCAAGCATGCCCCTGGAGCCTGATGAGTACATTGGAACAGGGAGCATGTCTGGGGTATTTACTAAGTAGGCTTGCTAGCTAAGGTATTCATCTATAGACAACATTCCTTGGCCTTCCCTCGGTTTCTATACTCAGTGTTGGCCAAAGTGAAAACATAATTGAGAGGTCTCTTCCCATATTCAGTGTGACAGTGCACTAAATAATGGGCCCATATTGTTCCAAAGTATGAATAGGTTTTACCATTCTCTTCCCAAGCATTTATTCATTTACTTAACAAGCAATTGATCATGCTTCTTCTCTGGGCCAAGTGCTGTTGTGGGCAAAACAGAGCTTGCACACCTCCTGCCTTGAGTTTCTATTCTAGCAGAAGAGATAGTAAATGATGGTGAGGGCCGAGAAGGGGAGAGTAAAGGCAGGACAAGTTGGATAGTGCATTTTGGGAGGACTTCTATGATGAGGTCACATTGGCACAAAGATCAGAAATAATAGAGCAAAACCACACGGGTCTGAGAAAGAGTATTTTAGGCAGACAGAGCAATGAGGGCTGAGGAAGTTAGGTGTCCAAAATATAAATCTTTTGGGGAAGGGATAGAAAATCGAATAGAACGGAAAATTACTCCTTCATTGTAAACGATCAGTTTATACTATCGTGTGTTTTAAACGACTAAATAAGTGATAAAACAGTGTGTTTACATAAAGTTTTGTTATTATTTTATAAAAACAGTTTTTGGTGTAATACAACTTGGCAGATAAGAACTTTAAAAACCTACCTGAGTAGGGCCAAGCAAAACAAGATATTCAGTAAACAGAATAGTTAGCAATTATTAGGTGTGATGACTATATCCTTGTTATACGTGGTAAATGTATTAAATCCTTAAAAGTGATAACTATTCCTCTTCCAGTTTAGATGTCAAGAAAGAGCTGTGAAACACGAAGCAAGCATTAAGTTAGACCTTTATAGATGCCTTCAGCTGGACGAAGCTGCATTTCAATTTTGTTCTTTTTTCTTTATTTTTCCTTTCTCCCTCCTCCCTTTCACATTTTAATATCACATTCCAGTTAAGTTATGACTAGCAAAAATTAGTTTTCAAAATTAGTGATTTATTTAACTTAGCTTTAGACAGCCTACAACACTGATTCGACAGCGAGGAAACCTGTGTTTTAAAAAAGCAGGGAATCCCCCTGGCTGTACAGTAGGACACAGAGTATTGTACCGCTCTGCTAGTTTTGTGTTTATTCCCACTATATTTTGTAAGTTTGGTTTTAAAGAACCCAGCAGAATTTATTACTTACCAGTTCTAATATTTTTATTCACTACCGTACTTCTTAATTTCAGAAGAATATTCTTAATAGCACAAAGTATTCCTAACAACAAAAAATATTTGTAGAAGAAATCTTTCTTTCTTTCTTTCTTTCTTTCTTTCTTTCTTTCTTTCTTTCTTTCTTTCTTTCTTTCTTCTTTCTTTCTTTGTTAACGGTCATTCTTTCTGTCCAGGTAGCTCTTTATTCTAATTGATTTTTATGAAACGTTCTACTGTCTTAATAACTTGCTTGTAGCAGAGAATTGAAGTACCCAACACCTACAGGTTAACGGAGGAGAGGTTTATTTTGACTCACAACTTTTAGAGGACTTCATGTGTGTTAGCTGGCTCCAAAGCAGGACGGGCATGGTGGAAGGCTGTGGTGGAGAATGCTGATCATATCGTGGTCGCTGGGAAGCAGAAAGTGAAGCGGGGAGGCTTACTGGACATTCAGTTATAGATTCATCACTAGATTCATCCATTGACAACTATCGTGCCACTCAGTCTTTGGACACATGAGCCTTTTGCGGAACATTATAGACCTAAATCATAAAATTTACTCTTTAAATAAAACGGATACAAAGATAGTCTTATTCAGTTAATGTGAGATTTAGAACAAAGGAAAGATTTTCTGATTGCTTTCATCAATTTTAAGAAGTTCCTTATTCCAGAAACTCTTAAGGGAACAGCCTTAAAATGTTAGTCATGATGGAGAAGACTGTCATGAGAGGATAGGATAATTGTGAATATGTGGAATCTAATTAGGCCATTTAAATACATTTATTAAGTTGGGTATTATATTAATCCAGATCCAATTTGTGATATTGCAGACACTAAGGTTTGGTAGACTCTTTCTCTGCTGGCTTACCACTTGGCCAATCATACATTTCATCATTGGGTGGGATAAGAAAAACCATCAATGGGTTATTTTTCTAAAAATATATTTCACATTCACTGAACTTACTTAAAATTCAGCTTTCTCGGGTTTCTGGTGCATCTCTTTTGTGGAAAGAAATGGAACTTGCATATAATCTGTAATTCAGAATCAACCATTTTTTGTACACATTGTTCTTGGTTTAGTAACGTAATCTTTTATGCCATCAAATTTGATTTATGGTGCCAGGGTTCCCAAAACCACCATTGAAAACTGGGTGTAGTTGCATAAGCCTGTATTTCCAGCTATTTGGAGGCTGAGGCAGGAGAATCCTAAGCTACCAGCCTGGGTAGCTTAGACACTAGCTCAAAATAAAAGTACAAAGGACTGTGTAGATAGCCCAGAGTTAGAGTGCTTGCCTAGTGTGTGTGAAGTGCTGGATTCCAAAAATAAACAAAACAAAAGACATGATAAGAAGTGTAATTTATCGTACAGATGTGTGTTTTACTCATTTCTGAAACAGTTTGGAGACTCATTTCTTTACTGTACTTAAGTCATATAACTTGGACTGGGTCCATAAAATCCTCCCAGGAAGCAAATATAAAATCTCTTGGAATGTCTTTTACCAGACTTCTTAATTTGTTTATTTAGCTATGTAGTTATTTTTTATCATACTGAACTAGAGCATATAAGGAAACTCTCCTGCAAATCTCTGTTTTTAGGATCCCATTTTTTTTTCTTATGTTAGCATGTAGAGAACCCATAACTACCCTCTAAAAATCAGTGTTTAAATTGGAAATGGTGTTCTAAATGCATTTCAATTTTAGATAAAATATCTGAGTTATTTTACTTCTCACATCTATAGTAGTTATACCTCATGTGTGCAGTACTCCTCAGTTTCCAAAGTATTTCCTTCCTGCCTTCGTCTCTCTTTTTTATTGCCTTTTTGAGGCTGGGTCTCATCATGCAGTTTGAAGTCACAGCAGACCTCCTACCTCAGCCTCCTGAGTACTGAGATTATAGGCAGGTACCACCATACCTTACCTCCAAAGCATTTTCACACGACCATCTCATTTAATTCTTGAAATCATCCCTGTGAATTAGCTAGGGCATATGCTA